CATAATGTTCTCCAGAGTCAACCATTTTGAATAATATTGCATGAGTTCCTTGTTTTTCAATGCAGCATAGTATTCCATTGTGCGAATATACCACAGCTTTTCTAGCCATTCGTTTGTTGATGGGCACTTAGGTTGTTTCCAAGTTTTAGCTTGCTTAGTTCCACAATTGACACTCTTGGCAGCAGCAGTCAGGAAATCAAAAGATCAATTGCATTAGGAAAATCTACTTCCAAGGATCCCTCCAGAAAGCTAAAGAGCAATGACGTCAATTTAGAGACTAAGGTGTGCCTGATCCAGGGCATGGTCTTTGCAATTACTTATTATGCATCAGAGAGCTGGACAATGACCAAAGATGACAGAAGAAGAATCAATGTCTTTGAGTTGTGATGCTGGAAAAGAATGAACATACCATGAACTTCCAAGAGCACAAACAGATCTGTCCTTGAAAATAAGCTGCTCCTTGGAGGCAATGGTTTTTGAGGCTTTATCTCACATACGTTGGGCATGTTACCAGAAGACACCATCCTTGGAAAAAGACATCATATTTGGATGTGTGGAGAGATAGCACAGAAGGGCCAACCCCCCTCCCCGATAAGAAAGACTGACAATAACTGGGGTAATGAGTGTAAGTGTGTCTGAGACAGTGAGATTAGCTCAGGATAGGGCAGAGCTCAGATCTACTGTGCATAGGTTCACTATGAGTTGTAGTTGACTCGATGGCACAAAACAATGACCTATGTCTCACATATTTTGGGCATATTGATAGGGGGACCAATCCTTTGAAAAGGACATCATGACTGAAAATGTCAAGGGTCAGCAAAAGAGAGGAAGACCCTAAACAGGACATAAGAGCCTTAACAATGAATTTGAGTATATTAGAGATGATGAGGATGGTACAGAATAGGGCAAGGTTCAGGTCCATGGTTATAGCGTTGCCAGAGCCACACTTGGTATCACCTAACAACAACAGGATTTTGAAACCCTATCTCACATATTTTGGGCATATTGCCAGGAGGGACCAGTCTTTGGAGAAGGACATCATATATGAAAGAGAAGGCGGTTAGGGCAAGAGAGGAAAACCCTGGATAAGATGAATTGACACAGTGACTATATCGATGGTTCAGGTATATCAGAGACACTGAAATTGGCTCAGCATAGGGCAGAGTTCAGGGCTTTGGTTTGCTCATGGGGCCACTATGAGCCATAATACACAATAGCATGTAACAATGACAACATGCTTATTCAAGAATCACAGACACACAATCTACATGCATACACATGCATGTGACATGGTGCTTTGCAATTTCTTTTTTCACTTAACATGGTTTGGACATTTTTCTATGTCAACATTCATATTTCACACTTTCACAAGGCCACATATTTTATTGCAGAGATGTTGCTGTTGTTGTCAGGAGTTATTTGGTCAACTATTACCATAAAAATAACAGCTCTGAACCTAGCAATTCCACTACTGGGAATATACCCTAAAGAAACTGCCACCCAAGTAGATATATGCACACCCATGTTTATTGCTGCTTTGTTCACAATAGCAAAGAATTGGAAACAACCCAAGTACCCATCAAAAAACAAATGGTTAGAGCAGCTGTGGTAGAATCACACAATGGAACACTATGCTACATTGAAAAACAAGGAATTCATGAATTATTATACAAAATGGGTGATCCCGGAGGACATTATGCTGAGTGAAATATCTCAATCACAAAAAGACAGATACAACATAATGCCACTGTTATAAAACAGGACTGACATGGCGGCTGGGAGGAAACTAAGAAAAGAGGGGATAAATAAAACGAACTAGGGAGAGAACTGTATAAAAGGAATATATGATTAGGTATTATTGGCATGACAAGAGTCCAGAATAAGAGCTGCATAGTAAAGTGGTTGGGGGTAGGGGGGTAAAAAGGTTTTGGGGTGAGGGAGAGGACAGGGAGGAAAATATGCAACAATGAATGATTGGAAACCCAAGTTCTTTATAAACTTTCATTAAAATATCAATTTAAAAAAGGGTAAAAAAACAAATTTGCTTCTGCTGTTTTGTGGGGGCACCATAATTCAGAGTGGATGCTACCTAACACCATTCATCAGTAAAGAGCCCTGGCACCCAGTGCCCAAAGAAGCTGTTAATTGAAAGGAGGGCAGTTTGAATCTGCTGCTCCATGGGAGAAAGATATACAGTCTCCTTCTATAAAGAGTTACAGCCTTAGAAATCTGATGGGAGTTGCCATGATAAATTAATTTGATGGCAGTGAATTTGGTTTGAGGCTATCCTTCACTTGCCCTGGAGACATGGTAGATTACATCTGCTCAGTGAAAGGTCAAACCCACCAGCTACTCTGAGGGAAAAAAGCCAATGAGGCATCTCCTCCCAAGAAGATTTATAGATTCAATAACTAATGGGGGATGGAGTAATCAAATAGTTTTTTTTTATTGTTTTATTTGCTTTTTTATTCTTTAAAAAAATAGTTAAGAAAAAGCAAAAGTCATAGATTGGGAGAAAATAGATGCACTATTTTCTGATAAAGAACTGTATCCACCTGTTTCTTTTTCTCTACTACTTTTCTCTTTATGCCTTTCTATTTCTCTATCTCTCTTTCTGTGTCTCTCCCTACTCCCCTTTCCCTCTCTCTTTCTCGTTTCTCTTTATCTATTTTTAAATAACAGATGTAGCTCTGGATGGACTCACCAGTCTATTTGGCTGACAGCTGTCTGGCCAACTGACTTGAAGAGACATGTATTTATTCCCATTCTCAAGAAAGGTGACCCAACAGAATGTGGCAATTATAGAACAATATCATATGCAAACAAAATATTCCTGAAGATCATCCAAAAACTGCTAGAACAGTATATTTACAGGTAATTGCCTGAAGTTCAACAGGGTTTAGGAGAGTTCATGGCACCAGGGATATTGCTGATGTCAGGTGGATCCTGGTGGAAAGCAGAGAATATCAGGATGTCTATTTGTGTTTAATTGTCTATACAAAGGCATTTTACTCTGTAGATCATAACATATTATGGCTAATATTAAGAAAAATGGAAATCTCATTACATTAATTGTGCTCATAAGAAATCTATACCTAAAGAGTTGTCCAAATGGAGCAAGGGACCAGAGTGTGGTTTAAAGTAAGGAAGGTTTTGCATCAGGGATATATCCTTTTTCCATAGTTATTCAATCTGTACACTGAGTAAATAAATCGTGAAGTTGGACTTGAAGAGGAACGTGGCATCAGGATTGAAGGAAGATTCATCAACAACCTGCATTATACAGGTGACACAATCTTGCTTGCTGAAAGTGAGGAGAACTTGAAGTGCTGCTGCACAAAATCAAGAATTACAGCCTTCAATCTCAAAATCAAGAAAACAAAGGTCCTCCCTACAGGGCCAACAGTCAACATTATGAGAAATGGAGAAAGGATTGAAGTTGTCAAAGATTTAATCTTGCTTGGATCATCAACCAAAACTCTTGGTACCAGCACTAAGGAAATCAGGAGACTTATTGCACTAGGCAAATCAACTGTCAGGGATCACTCCTAAATACTAATATTAGTTTGAAGACTATGGTGCACCTGATTCAGGCTATGGTTTTCTCCATTACTTGCTATACACTAGAGAGCTGGAAAATGAATAAGGGTGACAGAAGATGAATTGATATCTTTGCACTGTGGCACGGGAGAAAAAGTACTGAACTTCCCATGGACTGTCAAAATAACAAACAATATGTTTTGAAAAAAAATTCAGCCAGACTGCTCCTTGCAGGTAAAGGTGACAAAGATTCATCTCTCACACTTGTTGGTAGGCAAGGCTTTTCCTTGGAAAAGGATTATCATGATTGGAAAGATGTAGAGTCAGTGAAGAAAAGGAAGGTTCCCAATAAGATGGATAGATAGTGACTGCAGCAATAGGCTCATGTATATCAGAGTTGAGGAAAGCATAAGATAGGAAAGGATTCAGATCTGTTGTTCACAGGGTTGCTGAATCTTACTCAACTCAGTGACATGTAACATTAGAAGTGTCTAGGATGAAATGTGTAAGACATTAGTGCGCTCAATAAAAAGCTTATATTGAGTGGAATCATTTCCTGTCTAAAAGTGAAAGCAAATTAAAAGGGGTATTGAAATTTTAAAATAGGACACAATTTAAAATTACTGTGTAGGAAATAGAAGATCACCTTGTCTTTGAGCTAAAACTACTCATACTTATGAAGTACAACTATTTTAAGTACAATTGGGTTGAGTTCTCTCTGTAAATTATGAACCTGTCCTTTGGGAACTTCAAGGAACAAATAAAATATGTGAATAACTTAGTGACTTTAAAACAAGATAGCATTAATTCATTCATGCATTCACCAAGTATTGAGATACCTATGCTGTGATCTGAAACCTTTTGGCAAACTTTAATTTTCCAAAACTTAGAAAAGCACCTTAAGGAAATGTAATGTGAGGTAGTGTACTTTTGTAGACCAAGTCATTTTGTCCTTTGAAATTACAAACGTAGAACCTTCAGTCACTTTAACAAAAGTTTGTAAGTTATGAACTCAATCTGGAAAATACTGTGTGTGTTTGCAGCTACTTTCAGTGGTAAAGTGAGTGGCTCTTAAAAGAGCCTTTGGGGAAAGGAAAAAATTTGAAGGGTGTAGCAGTTTATGCCCTCTCCCCGCGGATGCGGCGGGCGAGCTGGATGTCTTTGGGCATGATGGTGACACGCTTTGCGTGAATGGCGCACAGGTTGGTGTCCTCAAAGAGCCCCACCAGGTAGGCCTCACACGCCTCCTGCAACGCCATGACGGCCGAACTCTGGAAGCGCAGGTCAGTCTTGAAGTCCTGGGCGATCTCGCGCACCAGGCGCTGGAAGGGCAGCTTGCGGATCAGCAGCTCGGTGGACTTCTGGTAGCGCCGGATCTCGCGCAGCGCCACGGTGCCGGGCCGGTAACGGTGGGGCTTCTTGACGCCGCCGGTGGCCGGCGCGCTCTTGCGGGCTGCCTTCGTGGCCAACTGCTTGCGCGGAGCCTTGCCGCCGGTGGACTTGCGAGCTGTCTGCTTGGTACGAGCCATTATGAAACCGAGAAAGCAGCCAGAAGCGAAAGAACTGCTACTGGGACCAGAATTTATACTATTGCTCCACTCCTGATTGGTCAAAATTGTTGTGTCAGTATCTGATTGGTTCTCTCGTCAATCTTCATTTGCTTTGTTCCACCTTCTCTGCATGCTTTTGTTTCTCTATTAATTTTACTTTTGCTTTAAAGTTTTTTTTTACAGAAAAGAATTACTGCGGCATTTCATCTTGTTCGGTTTTACAATGCTCCCTCCAGTGAAGAGAGAATGGTCAGTTACTTGGGGGTGTGTGTAAATCTGTCAAGGACTTTTTAAAAATTGTATTAGGTTTAATAACATTTAATCGTGCTAATGCGAAACCTATACTTGGACCAAGAGGCAGTCGTCAGAACAGAGCAGGGCAACACTGCATGGTTCAAAATTGGGAAGAGTGTACGTCAGGGATGTGTCCTATCTCCATACCTTTTCAACCTGTATGCAGAGCAGATTATCCGAGAGGCTGGGCTCCATG